TTTTTGCAGGGAAACCATGATCCACCTACACATGATGGTAAACCATGCAGACAGAACTTCATATTTGTATAGAAAAGTACAAACCCAACAAACATTTGCAGTCACAAATAAGTAAATTTTATTTTTTAAACTGATTCGCATTATATCTTTACAGAAGATCATGCGAAGCCATGTACACGACTTATGTATTAGTAAAATAATAAATTTTGTTTTATTTTATTTCATTTTAATACCGTTTGTAACTACATACATACATCATATCGCACGCCTAGATCTAAAATGAGCTAACTCAAAATTCAGAGAGGGAAATATAACTGCTTGTGGATCGTACAGATTAAACGCAATTAATACAAAGTCTGGGCTCGAATCGTAACATCCGTTCACGGATCGAAGACGATACAAAAGAANGTCAAACCTTCAAACACCCCCATACACAGCACAAATGGCTTGAAGCAAAGGGAAATTTCGCTTGGTTTGTCAAACCGCTTGTGTGGTGTATTTCGCTCTTAAGTTTACGTATGTCATAATCCGAAAAATGTGTTTTTACGTGACTAGTACGATATCATGTGTGGCGATTCGAGCCCAGGTATAACAGTAGGTTTTTAGTAAATGTATATAATCATGAAGAACAAATATTTGCATTAATTGGATGTACGGCTTATGAATCGATTTATGCAAAAAAATCGCCATAATTTTTTTTTTAGTTGATCGCACTTTAGAACTAGGTTTGCGATATATCGTCACCTAAAATGCAAAAAGACGTAACAAACATCATCGCCGAAATGCAAAAAGTCGTAACTTATGTACAAAAAATTCAAAATTCACTTTTAGATTGATATGAGGGATTTCATCGAATTACAACTCCCCACATCATTTTATGAAAAAAAAAAAAATTATTAGTCACTTTTTCCATTTCAGTGACGATGTTTGTTGTATCNTTTTTAAACTGATTCGCATTATATCTTTACAGAAGATCATGCGAAGCCATGTACACGACTTATGTATTAGTAAAATAATAAATTTTGTTTTATTTTATTTCATTTTAATACCGTTTGTAACTACATACATACATCATATCGCACGCCTAGATCTAAAATGAGCTAACTCAAAATTCAGAGAGGGAAATATAACTGCTTGTGGATNTAAGTTTACGTATGTCATAATCCGAAAAATGTGTTTTTACGTGACTAGTACGATATCATGTGTGGCGATTCGAGCCCAGGTATAACAGTAGGTTTTTAGTAAATGTATATAATCATGAAGAACAAATATTTGCATTAATTGGATGTACGGCTTATGAATCGATTTATGCAAAAAAATCGCCATAATTTTTTTTTTAGTTGATCGCACTTTAGAACTAGGTTTGCGATATATCGTCACCTAAAATGCAAAAAGACGTAACAAACATCATCGCCGAAATGCAAAAAGTCGTAACTTATGTACAAAAAATTCAAAATTCACTTTTAGATTGATATGAGGGATTTCATCGAATTACAACTCCCCACATCATTTTATGAAAAAAAAAAAAATTATTAGTCACTTTTTCCATTTCAGTGACGATGTTTGTTGTATCTATAATAAAGATACATATGTATGTATATACATATCGTTGTTTAAAGTGCAAAACCGCGTATCAACAAAATGCAAAACCGCGTATGTGAAGATGTAGAAATTATTTTCTAGAGCGTAAAAACACTCATATTTCAAAATGGTTCTCTTTTTTATAAAGCAATCGCATTTCTGGCTAGTATATTTAAGGACGAATGGATAAGGATTGAGCCAGCAGCTTGTGTGAGCAAATCCAATTTTTGGCAGCCAATGTCAGTTACGCGGTTTTGCAGAATGACGATACGCGGTTTTGTACTTTAAACGACGATATATGTTTGTATGACAGAAACTTTCGGAAACTTTCCTACTCCCAAATAAGTTAAATCAATTATTTTTATTTGGAAGCTATAACCGCCTACGTGATTTGGCCCAGAAAACATACGATGAACTAATAATACCAAAGACTTTTTTAGTCATAGTTTTAGAGTTATTCTTTCATTGAAGGGTTTTAAGNTAACTCAAAATTCAGAGAGGGAAATATAACTGCTTGTGGATCGTACAGATTAAACGCAATTAATACAAAGTCTGGGCTCGAATCGTAACATCCGTTCACGGATCGAAGACGATACAAAAGAAAATTACGTGATACGTCAGGCTGTATAAGCTGAATGAGACNATCGTAACATCCGTTCACGGATCGAAGACGATACAAAAGAAAATTACGTGCTACGTCAGGCTGTATAAGCTGAATGAGACAAAGAGTAAGTTTACGTATTTCATAATCCGAAAAATGTGTTTTTACGTGACTAGTACGATATCATGTGTGGCGATTCGAGCCCAGGTATAACATTAGGTTTTTAGTAAATGTATATAATCATGAAGAACAAATATTTGCATTAATTGGATGTACGGCTTATGAATCGATTTAGGCAAAAAATCGCCATAATTTTTTTTTTAGTTGATCGCACTTTAGAACTAGGTTTGCGATATATCGTCACCTAAAATACAAAAAGACGTAACAAACATCGTCGCCGAAATGTAAAAAGTCGTAACTTATGTACAAAAAATTCAAATTCACTTTGATTGATATGAGGGATTTCATCGAATTACAACTCCCCACATCATTTTATGAAAAAATATTATTAGTCACTTTTTCCATTTCAGTGACGATGTTTGTTGCATGCATGATAAAAACATTACAAGGTAAATTCATTCTCTCATTTCGTCGGCCATGATTTTTTTCTGACGTTTACCAACATTTTAAAATCATATAAAATTGAAAATAAAAAAATTAAATTGTTCACAATTATTGTTGTTTGAGATTGAAAATGAGAATGTGTGTGTGAGTTTGAGTTTTGATTTTAAAATTATATTGTTGGCAAACGTCAGACTGCCTCTCAATGGTTTTACCATGGTTGCATGCATGATAAAAACATAGCAAGGTATAACCGTTCTCTCAATTTGTCGGCCATGATTTTTTTTTGAAGTTTGCCAACATTTTAAAATCATATAAAAGTGAAAATAAAAAATTGAAATTGTTCGAAATTGTTGTTGCTTGAGATTGAAAATGAAAATGTGTGTGTGAGTTTGTGAGTAAATTTAAAAATTAAATTGTTTGGAAAC